CGCTGTTTTCGCCGAACGCGATAAATTTCCGCCGCTGTTCGCGTCTGTGCGACCTCAACGCTCCCGTCGCTACCTTATGCCGCCGCGATACACTCGGGGGCGGAGAGGGGTTGGTTCATCGAGCTGCAACGACCACGAGCACGCGGGAGGGAGGGGGGAGGCTGAGGGGGCTGTAGCGTATGATATAGATTTATGCCGCGGATAGAGCCGGGCACCGCTCTGCCTCGTCGTTGAACGAGAGCGCAAGAGAGCCTGATGCAGCCGAAGATCGAAGGCGGTTAAAGGGAAGGCAGGAGCCGCGAGAGGGGGGCAGGAGCGGATTTAACGGATTTCGACGAGCTTGCAGGGGGACGACGCGCTATCGAGGCGCGACGCGTGATGATACCGCGATCTCTCGCGATATCGCGCGTGATCCTCTTCGCCGAGGCTTCGCCGTGAAATCGCTAATTCGTGAAAATCGACGCCACAAGGACAGGCAGGCTGATAAGCCGTGCGTCGAGCCGATCAACACTCCGCGAGCCGGCCCGATCGATGCGCGATCGCACAAGACGTCGCGAGCGGAGCGAGGCGGGGCGGCCGCGGCGGTCCCACGCTTTTCGACATCCCGGCGCACGTTCTCGAGCCAGCATTACCGGATGTGACTTATTAGCGAGTGGAACACACGCGGCGAGGTATCGCGGGGCCCGGGCCCCGCGAGTATAATCCCCGGTACGTGTACGTGCGCCCCTGGGAAGGGGGCACATGTTGGGGTATGCGGTGAATGCGGGGGAGCGGGACGGCCCGAGGGGGCTAGGGCGGCGGGGGAGGAGGAGGAGGAGGAGGAGGAGGGGGCGAGCGAGAGGCCGGGTGGATATCGGCGGAGGATGGGGGGAGACGAGAGGCGGGGGAAGGTCGATGGACGCGGGGGCGAGGGGCAGGAGAGCGGAAGGAGCGCACTCTTCTCGGAGGAGAAGTCCGCCGGAGCGAACGGAGAGTGATTTGTGAAGACGCTCCCGCGGCTGTAATCACGTGGGATCTCCGGCGCTGTCTCTCCCGAGGGAGCGAGAGGACATGATGTGACGCGCAAGCGGGACGGAGGCGAGGCCACGGATTCTTATTGTTATTATGGGGAGTGACGTCCCACGGATCCTGGCATGTTTATGCGTCCAGATTCGCGGCGGCCTTGGACGCGCATCGCCGGGCGAAGCCGAATCAAAGCACCCGAGTCAGTCCTCATGAGGCACCCGTGTTGTCGTCGTCGTCGTCGTCGTCTTCTTCTTCTTCTTCTTCTTCTTCTTCTTCTTCTTCTTCTTCTTCTTCTACTTCTACTTCTTCGTCTCCTTCTTCTTTTCCTTTTCCTTCTCCTTCTCATGCCCATCCTCTTATTCTCATCCTGCTTTCGCTTCTTCTTCTTCTGCTACGAGAAAGAAAGTGTCGTTGTTTTAAACCTACCCTCGGGATATGCCCTCCGCACCGGAGACGAGCCAGACTTCGCGCGCACGAGATTCCGCCTGCCCTCGTTGCGGGCCTTGTCGTCGTCGTATCCGTCACCCTGTGCGATTTCCTCCTATAGTTTTCGTGGCGCGCCGCGCGATACGTCACCCGTCGAATTTTCCGTGAACGTTCGAGTACAAATATTGTTTATAATAGTTTGTAAAACGTGCGCATATGTTGTTACTAGTGTAGCGCGATTTAATGTGCGATTATTAAGCATCAGGCGTTTCGACAGTGTTATAAGAAAACGTTACGAAGTATTCTTTACCAGTTTCAACTTTTAAGTTTCTAATCTTTACAAACACAGCTACTTTACCACATATTTAAAGCATATTGAAATTAAATTAGTGAATTATACTTCTAGATGTTTCCTTGTTATACATAAATTTATTTTTGATATAATATATTTATATAAAAATATATTTTTCAAATTTAGTTGTAGAATTATATATGAGATATATTAAATATCACAACTTATATTTATTCTATATATTTACTATATATATGTTTTACATTATATATATTGTGTATGTAAGTGTAATTATATTAGTATATATGTGTTTGCGTACATATATTATTATATATATTGTATGTATTTAACATAGACACCACACACGCGCGCGCGTACATACATACATAAGATTATATATATTTTTTTTTATATATAAAAATAATATATACTTTACATTTATATGTATTTATATATATTTTTATGTATAATTGTATAAAATAGGCACACACACACGCGCGCGCGCGCGCGCACACATATATACATATGCGCGGACACGATTATATTATACATTCATTATATTGTAATATATGTAATATTTTTAAATATTCTCTTTTAATTATAGTTATATATATATGACATGTAAAACATAATTAAAAAGGAAAATAAAAATTTTACTACTCAACACGATCTTATTATCATCCCTTGTTTATTATTATTTATTTCCTATCCGTTACTTACCTTTTCCGAATTTAGCATTTTGGTATTAGAAAAACATAATCCGCAAAGAGTTAGTACAAATTTCGCGCCTAAAATACGTACTACCTCTTTGCCGATTATGTTCTCCTAATAGCAAAACGCCAAATCGGAAAAATTTCTTCGAAATTTGTGTTTCGGTATCAATTACCATTTTCGCGTTTTGGTATCAGGAGAACATAATCGGCGAAGAGGTATCTGGAATTTCTGGCGGAAAATTTGAAATTTCCTCCAGTTCCCATTTTCGCGTTTTAATATTAGGAGAACATAATCCACAAAGAGTATCCGGAATTTCTGGCGAGAAATTTGAATTTTCACAAATTCCCATTTTCGCGTTTTGATATCAGGAGAACATAATCGGCGAAGAGGTATCTGGAATTTCTAGCGAGAAATTTTTATTTTCACAAATTTCCATTTTCGCGTTTTGGTATCAGGAGAACATAATCGGCGAAGGGGTATCCGGAATTTCTGGCGGGATATTTGAAATTTCCAATTCCCATTTTCACGTTTTAGTATCAGGAGAACATAACCCGCAAAGAGGTATCCGGAATTTCTGGCGTGAAATTTGAATTTTTACAAATTCCCATTTTCACGTTTTGGTATCAGGAGAACATAATCAGCGAAGAGGTATCTGGAATTTCTGGCGGGAAATTTGAAATTTTCTCCAGTTCCCATTCTCGCGTCTTAGTATCAGGAGAACATAATCCGCAAAGAGGTATCCGGAATTTCTGGCGGAAAATTTGAAATTTTCTCCAATTCCCATTTTCGCGTTTTAATATCAGGAGAACATAATCCGCAAAAAGATATCCGGAATTTCTAGCAGGAATTTTGAATTTTTACAAATCCCCATTTTCGTTTTGGTATCAGGAGAACATAATCCGCAAAGAGGTATCCGGAATTTCTGGCGGGAAATTTGAAATTTCCTCCAATTCCCATTTTCGCGTTTTGGTATCAGGAGAATATAAGGTATAAAAGAGTGGTATAAATAAAAAGAAACTGCGCTAAAGGTAATCCAAAAACTTTTATTCTTATCTCTGTTTTAATATAAAATATCCAATATAATATAACAATATATATATATATATATAATATATAATACAAGATATATATATTTATATTTATATGTACAATATAATATAATATTAATATATATATATACAATATATTATATATATTATACATGTTATATAATATAATACGTACTATAACATAATATAACATGATTTTCTTTCACCGCAAAAAATACAATGCAATACATTATTATATATATAATTACAACGCGGTTATATGACATTATTACATCTCTTTAAAGAATTTATTAAAAGAGATACTTTTCGTAGTCACGCCTTCAAGATAACATTGATCTTAAACGAAGGGGATTCAGGATCCACCCCGTATCTAAACATCACTCCACGTCATCCTCGCGACAATCGCGACTCGCCGCGAGAATCAGCCGACAAACCCATCCGTACTCGTCGCGCCGGTGGCTATCGGAGCCGGTCATACCGGGCGCCAATAAACACAGTCCGCTGGCGACGAATCGTGGAGCGAAATGCGAAAATAAACGGTCGTACTTGCCGTTAGGGGTGTGTTTATGACGTGCTTGTTTGCAGATGTTACTTTATAAAGAAGCTGCGCGACCCGATGGCGGCGGCGATGTCGACGTCGACGTCGACGTCGACGTCGACGTCGCCGTTGACAGCGACAGCGACGATGACGATGACGACGAGGACGGCGGAGTGACGACGATGGCACAAGCCCCAAATACGTCGAGAGAGCAAGAGAGAGAGAGAGAGAGAGAGAGAGAGAGAGAGAGAGAGAGAGAGAACAGTGGCGAGTGCGCTCTGGTGGCGTATCTGGGCGTGGCAAGGCCACAGGGCGCCTCCGTTGGGAATAAATTATCTCGTGGGCTCTCCTCGAGAATGAGAGAGAGAGAGAGAGAGAGAGAAAGTAAGAGCGGGCGCACCCCGGTTATTATTGCCTAATAGACGGCCAAACAAACGGTTCACGCCCACCCTCCAATAACGGCGTGATTAAATTGTCCGCCGGTGCCGACAAAAGCGCGACCGATCCTGTCGGTGCGGCGGCTCAGTCCGAGCCGTCGGAGTTGAGGACCGCTGCTCGTAGGTTGTCGTACGTCCTTCCACTTCACCTCGCCGACCTCTCTCTCTCTCCCTCTCTCTTTCTCTCTCTGTCCACCTCGTCACGGGCATCAAAGCGATGTCTCGTTTACACGGCCGTGCCGCGATACTTTATGCTTTAATGTCCGCACACGTTGTCGCCCGCGCTGGCGTCCAGACGAGCTGCTCTCGGCTGGAACACGCGGATGTCATCCGGTATGCCTCCGGCCAATCAAACCAGTACGACGGCCGCTCGATGTTATGCGCGAATGGCCCATAACGTTCGCGTTTTATATTGTATAACGTCGTATTTGGTTTAATGCGCGATGTAAATTCGCGGCCTGTCCTCTCTGTGTCTCCCTCCCTCTCTCTCTCTCTCTCTCTCTCTCTCTCTCTCTCTCTCTCTCTCTCTCTCTCTCTCTCTCTCTCTCTCGCACTCTCTCTCTATCTTTCTCTCACCCTTCGGTGGGAGCTTGCACGGCTCATTCTCCCGAAGGATGGCTCACGGCTTGTAGCATCCTCCTCGGGTAGCGTTGATACTTATTACTCGACTCGGGACTTCATTCCCGTAGGCTCTCTTCCTCCGGGGCTTGCTGGGGGGCTGCAGGAGTCACATCGATTTTCCGATCGAAGCGCATCCTGCGCGCTCGCCACGTGGACCTCCGGCGGCGGCCTGAAGCTACGGAAGTCCCTTCCCGCGGACAGTCCGTCTGAGACAGAAGGAGAGAGAAACATATTAGATAATCCGGCAATTTTTGTCGCAGCGCGATCATTCCTCTCACCGTCCGGCTCCGGTCGTTGTCGTTTCCCCGCCGCCGCCGCCGACGACGACGACGACGACGTGGTCGATCTCTCGCAGACAATAGCGCGCACTTCCTTTCTTACGCGTCTCTGCTAACTACCGCTCGCGGTAAATCTTCCTCAATGATGCCGCAAGAATGCCGCTCGCTGCGGCCGCGCGGCGTACGTGGGCGCACGGTAAAAATGTACAGTGGACCGGACGGGCATTTGTATATCGCGACACGATAGGAAGAATTAATTAGAGATATCGGCGGCACCTCCCCGCGCGCCGCCATTAGCGAGCGCAGCTGCGTGCGCGCGCGTAGCCTCTCTCGTCGCATGACCGGAACTCTTTAGCGAATCTCGCTTCGCTTCGGCCGGCGCTGGCTCACCTCCGGGGGCGCGATTCATTTTTTCGGGGGCCCACCCCCGTGTGTTCGTTGCGTGTGACTGACGTCCAATTTATGTCTGTTCCTTGTCCCCGTTCATTAACGCCGGCCGATCACGGAGTGACGACGGGGCGAGACGGCAGCCGCGATCGAGCGGCGCGCGTCGATGACGAGCATCATTTCTTTTATCCCTCTCTCCCATCATGAATCTTATACTTTATGTATTGATTTTAATCTGTACTATATAGCTGCCTGTACGCGTAGTTATTTATATTCTTCTCATGGGGACGAATAAAAAAGTTCCGACAAGCATAACGCCTGAAAGGGTCTGGCTGGAAAGTTGATGTTTCCGAGAATTAGTCTCGATGATATTTGATTTAAATCATCGAGTCCACGTGAGCCTGACTTTTACCCGCGGGAGCGTTTCAGATTAGTTGTTTGCTCGATTCGGCCGACTGACAATGAGCGACAACTCTTGCGAGGAGTGGAAGATGGGGTATCAAGCGGTACGCGATGCGTCAGGAATATTTGAACGCGCGAGACGGGACATTTTGAGCGTCTCCTTTAATTCTCGTTCTTTCGTATTTCTTCAAGTTTATTTAAATAAATATTATTGTATACGTTATTGTTAACGTCGAAAATGACTTTCCGACTAGATTTTTCTCAGGAACTTGCATAGTTACATGCTATTAAAATATCAATCATTTATTTATTTATCTATATCTAATTATTATAATAATATTAATTAATTTATTATTTATTTGTTAATATATATATATATATATTGAAATATAATTTGTGTAGCGTTGTCTCATCGAAAAGTCTCATCGAAAAGCAAACGCGACATTGCGCGCGCTGCGCAATAAATCGCATAAATCACGAAAAATTACATCTAGCGTTATGTACGCACGCGAGGACGTTACGATTCACATCGCGACGAAATGTCACAACAAAATGACCCGCACGCGAGTGATTAAAACACTCGTCGACGCTCCTTTCGCGCTGAGCGTCGGCGCGCTGGGTGCGATTTGAGAGTCATTGCGCGAGAGCCGAGAGGCGACCGGGCGGTAAATCTCGCCTGGCCGATCGAATAGGCGGGTACCGATTACCATAGACATGCCGCGCGTTGATTATAAACATAATTAAAAACAACAACGGCCGCCCCGCCGTCCCTTTTACGTATGCAACGGCGGACTCGCGGACTCGCCGTCGATGCTGGTGGTCCTACGCGTTTTGTCCCCGGATGTCGCCCCGACCTAGGAAGTTTCGATCGTGGCCTACCCGGACGATGAGTATCGATCGCGTCGGCGCCGATCGACCGGCGACAACAGCCCGAGAGGCCGATAAGCATCTCGAGAGCGCGGCCACGTTGCGAAAAGTTACTTGGCCACTGGAGCAACAGCCTGAGCGAGGCGACGGTGTGGTCGGTCGTCTTTCTCCTCCTACGCATCGATCATTCGCATCCATCGCACTTGACGCGTTGTACAAGACCTCCGAGCGCGATTATTTTTTGCCCCCCACCCCGCCTCCTCAAATTACACCCCCGAGTCATTCACGCCGTCGACTCGTCGTCGTCGTCGTCGTCGTCGATTGATTTCGCGCGCTCACAAGACCGTTACGACTGTCTCGTTACGGCGAAACGCCCCCGAGCTTCCAATTATTACACGATGCTGAGAATTAAGGCTGCACACACATTAGGCACGGCTGCGGCGCGTAACAAGCGGCGTGGTGAAATTATCGCGCTTCAGGATCAGTAAAAATCCGTGGCGTCAAGTAAAATCGTAGCCGTGGAATAAAGTAGCGTATTTATAAGTGCGGCGTTCGCGCGCGCCGGAGATACACGCAGCCGCTATTTAAATTCAGTACATCAAAACCGGGCTGAAGAAATTATAAATACCTGCAGCTCTCCCCCTCCACCCTCTTTCTTTATCTCTCTCTCTCTCTCTCTCTCTCTCTCTCTCTCTCTCCCTCTCTCGCGCGCGCGCGCAGGGGCGCTTTAAAAGACCCCAATTTGGATTCTAACGGGCGTAATATTTCAGCTCCAGCATTTCACATAAAGATCTTATCCGATCGGTTATTTTTCCCGAAGCCTCGAGAGTTCGACGACGACGACGACGACGACGACGACGGACGACGACGACGACGACGACGACGACGACGACGACGACGACGACGACGACGACGACGACGACGACGACGACGACGACGACGACGATGACGACGACGACGACGACGGCGGCGGCGATAGGCAGCCGCGCGCGTAGGTAGGTTTCTGGAAGAATGTCGCCGAGATATACATATATTTTTTTTCTTTTAAGGCCCTCGCGTTTTCACTCACTCGCTACGGCCGCCTTTTCCGGCCGTCCTCGGCCGTCCCGCCGCGCGTCGTTACGAAGCGCGCCCGACAGCTGGAATAATCGAATCAAGTCGCCAACTCTCGGCCAGATCATCTCGACGACTTTTCTACTTCGATCTAACGATCGACTACCCTTCTGCCTTACCTTCCGGCCACTTTCTGCCGTTATAAGCGGCACTCATAGCCCGATCTTGTACTTGAGGCTTTCTTAAGTTCACCCCAAGATGCCGTAAGGGCCGTAAGGTCTCGTTGGCTGCACAGCGCTTGAGACCATCCTAACACGCCGAGCGCCATATTTGATATTTGAGAGCCGGTTGCTCAAGGGATCAGCAAGCAAGACTGCACTGGGCTATCGATAAAACTAATGACGGCATCGGTGCGTGTTCGAAATACTCGGCGCAAGGCTTATTCCTAACCTAACTGCAGGCGCGGTCCACGCGGAAGCCCAGTCAAGTATGGCTGACGCGTGGCGCCCAAAGCGTGTTAAATATAAGATCAGCCTACGAATACCGCCTTGGGAGAAAATACCGACGAGTGTATTCGCGTCGCGGCTGAATATTGAATATCCTCCTCGGGTCCAACCAACGGGTGAGACTCGAGACTCGATCGCGTTCGCGACGATGAACCCGTGTCTGAACCCCGACGTGGTTCCGCAGAAAATCAGACAGCGCAAGGCAAGGTTCGAGGAGCGAGCCTGAGGGTGAAGGACGATGAGAAGCAGGAGGGGAAGAGGAGGGGCAGACTCCGGGAATCACGGCGCTGTGGTCTCTCGGAGCGCGTCGGGCGATTCCAACAAATTTGCACCTCTAATCGCGCCTCGCGATACGAGTATAATGAGAGCATGATGCGAGCGAGCTCGCGGATGAAGGGAGTCCGAGAGAGCGCAGCCAGACTCCGATTGGATCTCCCTCGGCCCGGCGAGAGCGAGAGGCCGGGTCCCACCTTTGACCCTTCAATCCTCCCTCGTTCCTCTCCTTCTTTTCCTTCGTCCGCCCTCCGCCCGCCACGGGCCCTTCGATCTGTTAGTCTCGCCGTCGTCGTCGTCGTCGTCGTCGCCGTCGTCGCATCTTGTTGTCCCCCGCCGTTCGTTTCGTCTCAACATTAACCGCTCCACCAGTAGCCTCCGCTGGCATCGCACTTTCTGCACGACAGCCGCGCTTTTCTACCTACGAAGCTGAAGACACCAAAGCTTGCCTTTCGCGCTCTTCGAGTATGTCCCAGAAATTCCTGCAAATTCACGCGCCGTCGGCCGGCTGTCTTCAACATTGTGCAACCCTTAACCCTCCCTGACTCTTTCCTCTTCACGAGAAGCGTCGTCGAAACGCCTCGACGTACCGAGCGTGTTCGCGTTGAACCCGAAGCGTCGAGCCGGGCCGGCGGTGCGCCACGATTTTTCACACCTTCCTTCGTGCGTGCAAGCCCACGTGCGCGCTCGCTGCGTGTTCCAGCAACGGCAAGCACGCGAGTAGCCGTCGACGAACCGCACGCACGCACGCACGCACGCACGCACGCACGCACGCACACACGACGAGTGGCCGCTGCTGCGAGCCGCTCAACAACTGCGAAAGTACAACGATAAAGCACGCTCGACGACGCTTGTAAACTCGCCACGGCTATTTTCATCAATGGCAGATAATTCCGGCCCGTACGGCTTTACAGCCGCGCGTGCGATGTTCATAACTAAGAAGCGACGCAGGTATTAAACGGCTTACGCGCGTGCGCTATAAACGCTATGGAGCCCGAGTGCGCGCATGCGCGCGCGCGCGCGCGCGCGAACACACACGATCCGGCGTTATTGAGTTTAGCGCGACTAACTATTTCAAGCGGGATTAGTTTAATATCCGATCGTAAAGCCGCCGCCTTTTCGTCAGCCGCGACGAGTCCCCATTAGCGCCGGCGCGTTAGCGCTCGGCCGCGAAACGGCGCGTCGCGTCGCGTCGCATCTTCGCGCCGCGCTACCATCCGTTACACTCTCCTCCGTTCTTTGAAAAGCAGGAACTGGTCCCCATCCGCGGCTTATAATTGATAGAGTGGTAAAATAGCAAGCCGGAGGACAGCCCGGCAAAGTGAATCACGTTCTGCGCTCTGCGCTCTGCGCTCTGCGCTCACGCGCGCGCGCCGTGTGTGCGAGAGCCCCTGGTGCCGCCGCCCCCGCCCTTTGCCCCTCGTCTTAATACGACCATAA